TTAAAAGTGAGTTATATGTAAAAATATTTAGCCTGTTACCTGATATATGTAAATGCACATATTTGTTAAAATGTTTATGAATTTTGAGCCAAAGGTCTGGGGAAAGACTCAGTCATTAAAGTGTCTTCCACACAAGCATGAGGACCTGACTTTGGATCCCCAGCACACTTAAAAAAAACAGGCATGGTGGTACACATCTGTAACCCTAGGATTGGAGGTTGTAAACAGTATCCCTAGAGGTTACTGGAAAATCAGTCAAGTCAATTCATAAGCTCAGGTTCAATGACAGACACTGTCTGAAATAGTTAAGGTAGAGAGCAGTAGAGGAGATGTCTGGCATTGGCCTCTTCCCTCCACAGACACTATACACACACATACACGTACGTACACACGTACACGTATGTGTACATACATACATACATACACACACACACACACACACACACACACACACACACACACACACACACGCCTTAAATTATGAGCCAGATGCAATAGTGAACACCTGTAGTCCCAGCACTTGGGAGACTGAAGTGGGAGAATCATTTGAGCCTAAGAGTTTGAGAGCATACTGGGCAGCACAATGAGACCTCCACCAGCTCAAAATTTAAATAGGCATATGTCCTAAACCTTATTGGGAATAACTGATTCAATTTTTATGAAGGAGTCAATAAGAAGAAAATAAAGTACCCTGTTTGAGAGCAAGGATGACAATTCATTCATCGCAGCTCCCTCAATACACTGCCTTTAACAACAGAGACATAAATATATTGAAGACATGCTGTGGACTTAAGGCTTTGTCCTATAAATTCATAAGACAAGGTCCTTCATCCTTGGCTTTCCTCAGTTTTGCTGTTCATTCTATTACCATTTCCACCAGAAAGTGGAACATGGAAGGGAAAATAAAAGCTAGTGAACTTTCTATGCGAGTTTGACTCGTCAAAGTAAGCAACATCCAAACAGCTGGATGCGATTAGACTAGCAATGTTTTCATCCACACTGTTCCTGTCCTGCTCTCTGCAAATCTCTGCAATGCCCTGCCGTGTCCGCTCTTATAAAGTTTTGAGATTTTGATATGAGAACACTTTATTTGAAAATCAATAAGAGTCATGACTTCTCTTTGAAAGCGCTTCTGCAGGCATGAAGAATGGTGGGGGATTATTTGAACTCTGCCAAGTTATTATTTTTCTTGGCAGCTGGAATCAGAAGAAACCTCTTCCCAGCATAGGCCTGGAAACAACATTAGTGTTCCCATAACACCCTTTTACAACTCATTTTACTCTTTATAGGGTGGTACTTAATGGCTTGACAGCTGGTTCTCTTCATGACTGAAGACTCCTTAAGAGTCTGCCTTTCTTTTAGGTAGCCTCACCTCCCCAGCACACAAGACACTGTGGATAAGGGAAACAATCCATTAAAGATCATTAGGGTCAACCTAAGGTTTAACCGAGTATCCCTTTAAAATTTGTGTGTTTGTGTACCGTGTGCATGCCTGGTAGAGGAGTCCAGAAGACAGTGTAGGGTTCCTTGGAACTGGATTTACAGACTGTTGTGAGCTGCCATGTGGGTGCTGAGAATTGAACCCAAGTTCTCTAGAAACGTTGAGGACTTGTGCTTTTAAGCATTGAGCCATCTCTGTTGTAGAATATTATTTTAAGATGTGTTACATTTGGTTATGCTGTGGAACATTTATTTAATGATGCAAAGATGTGTTGCATTCTTTTATGTTGCTTTTGTTTAACTCTATAAAGTCGTGTTACTGTGCCTGTCTAAAACACCTGATAATCTAATAAAGAGCTGAATGGCCAATAGCAAGGCAGGAGAAAGGATAGGCGGGGCTGGCAGGCAGAGAGAATAAATAGAAGGGAGGAAAAGAAGAAAGAGCAAGAAAAGGAGGAGAAGGATCAAGAAAAGAAGGGACCAGCCACACAGCCAGACACAGAATAAGAAGGAAAGAAAAGAAATACAGAAATAGAGAAAGTAAAAATCCCAGAGGCAAAAGGTAGACAGGATAATTTAAGAAAAGCTGGCAAGAAACAAGCCAAGCTAAGGCCAGGCATTCATAAGTAATAATAAGCCTCCACTTGTGACTTATTTGGGAGCTGGGTGGCAGGTCCCCAAAAAAGCATCAAAGGAGCAAAAACAATCAACAAAACATCTCTCCAGCCCCCTCCCCCAGGCTCCCTCTTAAACGTTACATCCAACAAAAGCAGATCAGCAGTGATGTAGTTGGGAGCAACCTTGTTTCCTCAGCTGCAAGAAACAGAATCAAAATACACTCACCCCATCTGCATCTCCATTCTCTACATGCGGTTTAAGTGGGTCAAGCTGCTCATCAACTGCTGTGTGCTGGCTGCCTTTTAAACTAACTGGGGATTTCAGAACATTGCTGGAGAATAGGTTATCTTGCCAATGCAGCCTTTTAAACGGCAAAGCAATACTTAAGAGGTTCTCCTTCTTAAAATTAGACCAAATAACCAACACTACATAATTGTAATAATTGGAGATTCCTACTAATAATTATTCCAATACTTGGATGCATTCTAGATAGCAAATGATCAGATATGGTGCTGTATTTCCCACTTGGGGCTTTAGAGAGTTTATTGTTTTGAAATCAAATGTATTGTATTAAACCTTACGTATACACTGTTCCACACTGAGATTCCTTCTGAGTTCACTTGACATGGTAAGGACAGAGTATCTGTGAGTAATTCATTAGTTAAATCATTTTATCATATTTATCCTAGAAATTAAAGTGAATAGAGCAATACAATATGAAGAAAAGACACTAGTACCTAACAAGCTAAGACTAGCCTTGAGAATCTCAAGCTTCATTTTTCTTCTTTGAGAATAATCTCACTTCATCATCTAAATAATTGCACCAAATTCTTTATGATATGCACTGATTGACCATTCAATTCATTTCATAAGATAACTCATATTGGTATTAAAAACTAACATCAATGATCAGGAGTGGTGGCGCATGCCATTAATCCCAGCACTTCGGAGACAGATACAGCCGGTTCTCTGTGAGTTCCAGGGCCACCTCGTCTACATTGCAAGTTCCAGGACAGACAAGACTACATAGAAAGACCATGTCCCAAACAAAACAACACAAAACAAAATAATTACATTCATATCCCCTTAGTTTAATCAATAAAAGGCTACATCTATTTAGGTTATAGCAATAATCCTGATGACCCACAGACCATTACAAAGCATAATTATTACTTTCACACGTGTGAAACAGTTTACCCAATAACAACATTTTATTTGTGGTGGCTTTGAGCAAAATCCCTTCCACCACTGAAAGACACCAGGAGAGAGGGGAATGGTTCACAAACATTTTTGTTTGCCGTTCCGCAATAAGAATTCTTTGAAACCAAAAATATCCAAATAATTTCATCATCCTGTTCTCAGACCAGGAAATGGAGGTAGCTCTCTCTGGTTTGGGAAGGCAAAAAAGCAACATGGCGGCTGGGAGAACAGACATCGTAAGCGGCACGTGTCAACAACATGAAGGACACACACATCACTATTGGCCAAGGAGGTTCAGCTGATGTGGATTTTGTAAACTCTTCCTTCTGTTTACAAATTCAAAGGCCCACTAGTACTCCCAACATGCTGCTCTCTGAATTCCTTTGCTCTGTCCTGGACTCCTGGTGTCACACTCTAGCACAAACTCAAAGTCAGAAGAACAGTGTCTCTGCCTTCCTCCTCCCCACAATCGGTAATAAGCTTCTAGAGCTACTACCTCCCACAAAGCACCAACCAACGTAGCAAACAGTGTGTGCCAATTACCTGATTTTCATTACCTAATTTTTCAAAGTAATAGGTACATAAACACAGAAAAGGCCTGGCTTAGATAGCTACTAAACGTGTTTTTACTCTCAGCCCAAAATATGTTAAAAATAGGTTTTCTTTATTCTATTTTCTTTAGGACACATTTTCAGCCAGTGAAAATAAGCATCAAAGATATACACTATGCTTGCTTAATCTGAGCAATATAAAAAAAACCAAACCAAAAGAAAAAAATTTTAAATTCAATCATTCTTAAAATTGCAGTTACAGTGTTTATTTAGCAAAAATATTTTTATCTGGCTACTTAGCATCATTTAATATGCAACATTAAATAATCATTGCAGTATGTCATCAAATATAATTAGCAAAAGTATTTTTATCTGAATACTGAGCTTTTCATATATGCAACAATAAATATTCATTGCAGCAAGCTATCAAATATAAGTCTTTCTCTAGTTTTAATAAATTTATATGATTTCAATTTAGTAATAGAACAGTGTTTTCTTCTTTCTTTTTCTTCTTCTTAAATGCTAAAGAGCACAATTATCACTTAAACATCCACAATAATGTTTTCCAATCTTTTAATGATACATAAATAGTTCAAATCTGCTTGTCCTTTGTTTCTCTATCCTGGAGTTTTGACAATCATGTAATAGTTCTTTAAAGGGCTCTCAGAGTGGGTTTTGCCCCGTTCCCGATGCTCACAAGCGCACACATAACTGCTTGTATTTGTACCGATCAGGTTTTTATTGTATATTGAAAATACTAAAATTACTACCTTTTTTCCAAAATCGCCAGTAAATTAACTTGTGAGCCAATGAATTCGATCATTTTAAAATAAATAAATGTCATTTTCCTTAGTAAATAGTTCCAGAATGTAAAAGCAGACATACAACTATTCCAAAGGAAGGAAACAGTTTCAAAGAATAAACTCACGTAACAGTATTATCTTAAGTCCTGTGTCTGGAATCTAAATACAGATTTTAAATATTTCTTTTCATTTTCAATTATAACCATAACTAAGTCCTAAGGTCACTGTGCTAGACAACTAAAATTGGGGTCTCATTTTACTTAGAGGTATTTCAGACATTGAACTTCAGCTCACACAGCATGCACCCAAAAAGATCTAGTCTGTCACCAGGAGCCGACAGTTTGCTCTGAAGTAAGAAAGGAGGGCTCAGTTGCAATGATTTACTTACCTTTCGGTGTCTTGAAAAATTCCGGCAGGACTAAAATGAATGTGACCACGATTGCCACAAATAGTTTAAAGAGAGCGGTTTCTGTCATGTCTACTCACATGACACAAATGTGTTTCCATCCAGTAGCTTGATACTATGTTGCTTCCTGCTTGAGTTTCATCTCTGTTTTACTTCAGGTTCCTGAGATTCACCTCACATTCACTTCCGTTTGGGTCAGACTTTAAAAAAAAAAAAAAAAAAAAAAAGGTATCCGGAACTGAGTGAGACTTCTTCATTTTGAGTCACTCTGCCTAATACAGCCACCCTCTAACAAGCACTTTTGAACTATCTGCTAAACAAGGAAGACAAGTAAATGATCTTAAGAAGCAAAGGGGGTCTGGCTTCATCCAAATTTGAAGCTGTTTTCCCAGTGTGTAAGAATAAATGTAAGCCTACCACATAATAACCAAAAATAAAAGAACCAATGTCAGTGGCGTCCAGGTTTATGAACACCCTTGCTCATTTACTGATTAAATGACGATTGATCTGGCTGTGTTGGAGGCTGGTGTTTGGAAGATAGTAAACAGCCCAAGCTATGAGCGTAAACTAAAGGCTTGTGAAAACGTGGGGCTCTGCTTTCCTGCCCGCTCCACAAGTGGTTAGAATGTAACTTGTTATGTCTATAAACACTGTGTTTACTATTACACAACCCACATTTCTGTTCTCCTTGCTGAAGAACTAACTCCTTCAACGAGGATAATCCCGGAGAAAGAAAATAGTTTGTTTTAGAATGCAAATGAAGGATAGAAAAAATCATGATGAATGAGGCATACGTGCAAGCGAATGTTTTTACTTAGACAATGCATGTAGTTAGCATTTCCGTTGTTATCCCCCATCACCCGTTAAAATAAAAATGTATCAAATACTTCTAATCATTTTCTCCCTGCTTGGTGCCTCTATCCCCCTAACCATTCATTTCCACTTATCCTATGCTTGGTTCTCACTCGCTCACTCCCAGGCTTTATGGACCAACAGGTGGGTAGGGAGTAAGATGTAAGGGATAAAGGCCGTGCTGTGAATATGCTCTGTGAATTAACTGACTCGTCTTCCGATTGGATACTATGATTGATGTACACATGGGAATCCAGACTTAGGGGACTTTAAGACCTGAGCAGCAGAAATAGGTGTAAAACTCCCGCCGGGCGGTGGTGGCGCACGCCTTTAATCCCAGCACTCGGGAGGCAGAGCCAGGCGGATCTCTGTGAGTTCGAGGCCAGCCTGGAAAGGCGCAAAGCTACACAGAGAAACCCTGTCTCGAAAAACCAAAAAAAAAAAACCTCCCAAGCATGCCCTTTATTTTAAGAACAGCATCAAGGATTATCATGTGAACACTAGCTGATAAGAGTGAGGTTTCCAGTTAAGTACCAGCTAGACTCCTTGGTACTCTATAAGGATGTGTAGTCTTCAGTCATAGGGTCTTATTGTTGAGTTGTGGAGGATAACCAATAGCATTAGCAATAGCCTGTCATGTTTGTGGGGTCTGTGCGATTCCTTTGGCTAATAATTTGAAAAGATGTAACTCATTCCTGGCGCTGGGGGTTTTATCTGGTAGCATATGATGTCTAGTTGAGGTATTGGTCCCCCTGCCCCATGATATGCTAACTCTGTTTAAACTCCTTTATACCTGTATAGGAAGCATCTACACTAGCAGGTTTCCGTATGATTTTCAAAAGGTCGTTATAGTCAGTGATCCTTGTCCCATTCCCTCCTTTACCCTGCCCTCCCAGCCCTGTCCCATCAATTCTCCTATTCTAGTTTCTGCTTTAGCCGTTTATAACACTCTATTCCATTTCCCCTTCCTCGACTATCTTACTATTTATTCTTTCCCTTCTAAATGTTGCAATAATACCTTGGTTCGCTCAGTAATTCTTGTACCCATATAAAAATTATTGATTCCATGGTTTTCGTTGTTGTAATATTTCTGCCAGGTCTGTATCCATCACTTTCTGTTGCTGTGTCAAAGTATCTGAGCAAAATGACTTAAGGGAAGAAAGACTATGTGGACTTCTGTACTGAGAGGCCACAGTACATGGTCATGTGACTCCGTCGCTGCTGGGTTTATGCATGGTGAGGCAAAATACAGTGGAAAACGTGGTAGAGCAAAGCGGCTCACCTCATGGTAGACAGGATGCCTAGGAACAAGGGACCAGACAAAAATACGCCCATGAAGAGCATTCCCCAGCAATCTGCTTCCTACTAGAGCCCCCTTAATAATCCACTCAGTAAGAATCCCACGGCTTAATGGATTACACCAGAGCTTGTGTGGTCCATTCGTTTATCAAAAACCTTTCAGCTGGCAGCCAAGCCTTAAACATGTGAACCTTCACGAAACATTTTTAGAATCCAAATCAAACCATTCTGACATAATGCACAATGACATTCCCATGTGTGAGAGTGTATACACACACACACACACATACACACAACATCACTACTGAGACTGCTATTGCCACCACCACCCTGTTCCACACCACTCCATCTGGTTATCATATTTTTAGACACTTTAATGTCAATTTTCTTGAAAGGCCCTTTGTCCTGGCTGCGATCGTGTGCTCTGCACCTGGCTTCTCTGGTGGTGTCCAGATGGTGGATATCAGGAGAGCAACAGAAGGACCATAAATCCCAGGCCACAGGCTGACTGCTCTGAGGATACAGGGGATCGGAATCTTCCAGCCAGACTGTAAGACATTTGTGTTATCTTTGACTTAGCAAATCTTAAGAAAAACAATGTCATTGTGTGTGGTCATTCTCTTAGACTGCTAATCCAATTGTAACTTTTTTTACATTTACTGTGTGTGTGTGTGTGTGTGTGTGTGTGTGTGTGTGTGTGTGAAAGAGAGAGAATGAGCCTTGGCATGCCTGTGGAGATGCACAGGACAGCTTTCAGGAGTCCGTTCTCTCCTTACAGAATGTGGGTCTTGGGGATCAAGCTCAGGTCATCATGTTTGATGGTGTAAGAATTAAATATGAGTCTTCTCTAACAAATACTGCAGAACTTGTGTATCGGACAAGGAATTCAAGTCTTTCTCTCTTGCACACTCTAAGACTTCTATGCCAATGTTTTCATGTCCTCTGCCAGTAAAACCTTTGTTTGTACAAAGGCTCCTGCTACTTTCCAGGAATTTGATGGCCTGGAGCCGGGACCCTTTCCTCCTTGGAGCAATGGCCCCCTTACCCCTTCCTCTTTCATTTCCTGTGAACCAACTCCTTTTCAGACTAGCCAATCGAATACGACTGCAAGGTCAGACCCCCGCCAATGGGAAAAGACACAGTCACCACCTGAGTTAGAATAAAACCCAAGTCTACTTTCTGTCAGTGTGCCACTGATCTTCCCTTCTGAACACACCCTGCCGATCAGGAGTAAGGGTTGCCTTGTGCAGGCACTTCAGTTGGAGTGGTGAGCCCTTTTTTTTTATGCTTGACCAGCTGGTCTTGCCATACGCAGTTGCTATAAATGTTTCAAATCATTCTGTCAACAGTTACTAACTGCTTGAAGTGTTAGCAGAGCGATGGCCAAAAGCAAATTCCAAATATCCAGTGGGTGTTTGGTATGTCAGAAACAAAGAAAACCTCAGTGGGACGTAAGGAACACAGGAACACAGCAAAAGTAGCTTGGCCAGTGTCTCAGTCACTGTTCTACTACTGTGGAGAGACGCCATGACCAAGGCAAGTCTTACAGAATAAAGCATTTAACTGGAGGCTTGCTTATAGTTTCAGAGGCTTAGTCTATTATCATCATGGTGGAGAGTGTGGCGGCAGGTGTGCCTGGTGCTGGAGCAGTGGCTAAGAGCTACCTCCTGATTTACAAACAGAGAGAGACTGGCCCGAGCATGCGCTTTTGAAACCTCAAAGCCCACCCCGCAGCGACACACTTCCTCCAGCAGGGCCACACCTACTTCAACAAGGCCACACCCCCTAATCCTTCTAATCCTTCTCAAACAGTTCCACCCCTTGGTGACCAAGCATTCAAAGATATGAGCCTATGGGGACCATCCTCATTCAAACCACCATAGGAAGACAAATTCTTTTTGTGAAAAGGCTGCAGCAAGGCGTAAATGGAGCTTGTTGGGGAATATTATTTTAAGCTGTGTTACTTTTGTTTATGTTGCAATTGTTAAACTCTGTGAAACTGTGTTACTGGGCCTGTCTAAGACATCTGATGGTCTAATAAAGAGCTGAATGGCCAATAGTGAGGCAGGAGAAAGGATAGGTGGGGCTGGCAGGCAGAGAGAATATATAGAGGAGAAATCTGGGAAGAAAAAAGAAGAAGGAGCAAGAGAAGGAAGAGGACTCCAGGGGTCAGCCACCCAGCTACACAGCAAGCCACAGAGTAAGATTTACAGAAGTAAGAGAAGGGGAAAAGCCCAGAGGCAAAAGGTAGATGGGATCATTTAAAGTCAAGGAAAGCTGGCTAGAAGCAAGCCAAGCTAAGGCCGAACATTTATAATTAAGAATAAGCCTCCATGTGTGATTTATTTGGGAGCTGGGTGGTAAGCCTCCCAAAAGAGCAAAAACAATAAATAATAGGAGCTAGCAATCACACCAGAATAAGCGCTTGGTTTTTATTCTAATGTAGGTGTTGATTATGTTCCATACCCACCCCCATAATTGGCCGGGGTCCAACCTCAAAATCTTTCACAGTTGGCTGACTTTAAGAGAACTGGTTCAGGGAGCTGGGGAGATGGTTCAGCAGTTAAGACCACTAGTTGTTCTTGCAGAGGACCTGGGTTCAGTTCCCAGCATCCATATGGCAACTCACAAACACCAGTAGCTTAAGTTCCGGGTGATACAATGCCCTCTTCTGGCCTCCTCAGGCGCCAGGCACTCATGCAGCACACAGACACGAATGCAGGCAAAACACCTACACATGTAAAATAATAAAATAATTAAAAAAAAAAAAGAATGGTGCAATGGAATGAGGGAAAAGTCGGCCACTTCAGTCCATCAAGTTCTGGGAATGTATCCCAGTCTTTGTGTAAACAATGTTTTACCAGGGGGTGAAGAGTAAAAGATTTGCATAAAGGTTTTACAAGGGGGGAGAAATTTATAGAACATTGGCCCTTGGCAGACTAGCTACTTTCGACGGGGGAAAAAAAAATTCCCTCACAATTATCTTTCAGAGGTTCAATGTCAAGGGTTAAAAAAA